TAGTAGTCATTCCAAACTTGAGTCCAAAAATTCCAGTTGTATTAGGTTAGAGGACAAATGACTTAATAGCAACAGGAAAAATCCTCAAAGAGTTTAATTCATTTAAAATTTAGTGGGATGACAGTTTAGTGGCATATGTGTATGTGGTCATGTGTGTGTGTACATGTACACACACATACCCCCACCCCCGTATAAAATCAAGAAGGAAGGTGTTTCTGACAGTTTTACAGAATAACTGGCACGTTTTCTTTGAAGCTGAGTTTTTCATTATTTGTAAAATTGATGCAAATGATGATGTAGAAGACTTTTAAGTAACATTTGAGGTGGGGGTGGCAGTGGAATACTTGAACTCATTGAATTTCAAAGATTATTTCCAGCCTGATATCTAACACTGTGAATTATTATCCATCTCTAAATGAATGCAAGAGAATGCCATACATTTAATATCTGGATTATGGAACTTTTTAAAATTTAATATTCTTGCAAAACTTAAGTTCTGTTAATATTTTTAATCAATTTTGAGCCATGTGCTAGAAGCGAGTTAGTGGAACAGGCTTCAAAAGCATGAAACTATGCTTCATGGTATAGCTGCAAAGGGGAGCTTTTTTGAAACTTTTCAATTTAATTATTGTATCTGTTCCTCTATTTAAATGAATTTGTGTGTGGTTTATTTCACACTCCAGATGATCTCAACATAAGTGGCATCATAGCAGCCGTAGTAGTTGTGGTCTTAGTGATTACTGTTTGTGGCCTTGGTGTGTGCTATGCTCAGAGAAAAGGCTATTTTTCAAGTAAGTAAGTTTTACCCTTCTTTGATAGACAACTTCCCATGAATATACAGTTTTCTTACGAGACACTGTTTCTTCCAAGAAGGTCTAACAAGCTCTGGAAAATATTTTTCATTGATTTTTCTACTGTAGAAAATTTCCAAGATGGGTTATGAAGCACCTTAGCAAACCTACGGAGAAAAGGCAGAACTGCCTCATTGCAAAATTCTAGGGAACACCACAGAATATGTGAGAGGCATCCTTGGAGTGGCACAGTGTAATGAGACAGAGATATTTAATGTAAATGGATATCTATAGTATATTTACATGTATTAAAGATCCCTTTAAATTAGAAATTATGTATCTCAAGATATAAATTGACTTCTAGCTGTATAACAAGTGTCATTGAAATAAATAAGTGAAATGTTTTATCAGGATAGAATATTGAATGTCAAATATAGCACAACTA